TCTGCTGCTTGGAAGCAAAGGGTCATGTCCCTTCCCCAGCCAAGCACTGCCAATGCCCTTTGTTGGAAGTGGAAGGTGGTGCTGGCTTTGCCAAAAGGGTGGGATGGGGAAGAAATGATTCACTTGGCAAAGCTTATCCCTGTTCCCAGTTGCAGCTCCCCTGCGCTGAGGACCTGGCCCAAATAGCAGATGCTGTCAGCGCCGCTTTGTGCTCCGAACTGCAGAGGAGTCTGTTGAGCTTGTCCCATCTGCCTCCTGATCCACCAGCTCCTTCATGGGAGCAGGCATGCACGTGGTGCCCCCTCAGCTGCTGTCCCATGGAAACTCTTTGTAAGCCAGAGAAATCAGGAAAGCAAACAGCAATGTATTGCCCAGGGATAGGGGTGAGGACTGCAAATGCTCCATGCTCCATCTGAGGGGGAAGCAAGGTGGGGGCAGGGAGGTGGGTGAGGGGGGAGAGCTCCTACTCAGCATAAATACTTGAATCCTTCCAAACTTGGCTGAGGGTTTAAGAGAGAGGTTGGTTTGTCATCATGAACACTTAGCAGATGGGAGATGAGCGCAGGGTGGTGGTGCTCACTGTGGGGCTTGTATAGGAGAAGGGACTGTTTATGCTCCTGAAGGGGGTGGGGTGGGGGGTGTTTGGTGCCTGGCTCGGCTGCCAGCCCCCTTCCTGGGGTGGATTAACTCACCTCTGCTCTGCCTTCCTCCTCCACAGAGCAGCTCCAGCCCTGTACATGTGCTCTGGTTCATGGACAAGCCCTGCCACAGGCAGGCAAACCTCATGTCCTGCAGCGTGGTACTGGAGTCCCTTGGTGTTTGCTCAGCAAACCCTCCCACCAGGGTGTGATCCAGGAGGGGCTGACCTGATTTTTCTCTCAGTAGGCTATTCTGGGTCTCTCTGGATGCAAGGCAATGTACATGTCTGATATGACTAGTAAGCTGTTAAACAAAGACTAAGGGGTGTGAAAGAACTTTGCTTTATTCTGAGCCTATGCTGTCTGATCATCCTCAGCCACGTCCTAGGTGTTGAATGGTTTCTTCTCCCCTTGCCCCAGCTTCTGCTGTGTTGGGCTTTTTCCAGGTCCTTTTATCCATTTGATAGATCAGTCTGTGCTAAAGGAGACAGACCAAGGTGAAGTAGAACTTTATCACAGTCACTCACTGAGCTACCACAGCTCAGCTGGGAATGAAGCTTTCTGACAGAGTAATCAGTGGGGATTCTTCTCCTGGGAGAAGCGGCAGAGGAACAGTACCTGGGCTTGAGGAGGTTGTCAGATAGTCCTCTAAAAACTGTGAAGAAGCTGTGACAAACATTTCCTGTCTCTTAGATGCCACCAGGTTGATAAAAGCCATGTACAGGCATTGGGGAGCACCGTCCCCAGCAGCAGTGCTGCTTGGCACTGGTGAGGCTGCACCTCGAATCCTGTGTCAGTTCTGGGCCCCTCACTGCAAGAGAGACATTGAGGTGCTGGAGTGGGGCCAGAGAAGGGCACCGGAGCTGGTGCAGGGCCTGGAGCACAAGTGTGATGAGGAAGGGCTGAGGGACCTGGGGGTTTAGTGTGGAGAAGAGAAGGCTCAGGGGGGACCTGATCGCTCTCTGCAACTGCCTGACAGGAGGATGGAGCCAGGAGGGGGCTGGTCTCTGCTCCCAAGGAACAAGGGATGGGACAAGAGGAACCGGCCTCAAGCTGCCCCAGGGCAGGTTTAGCTGGAGCTGAGGAACAATTCCTTGCCCAGAGGGTGCTCAGGCATTGGAACAGGCTGCCCAGGGCAGGGCTGGAGTCACCGTCCCTGGAGGGATTTGAAAGACACGTACATGTGGCACTTGGGGACATGGTTTAGTGGTGGCCTTGGCAGTGCTGGGAAGGGTTGGACTGGATGAACTTAAAGGTCTTTTCCAACCTGGTTCATTCTATGATTTGATGGTTCTTGCAGCACAAAGTGGGGTGATGAAATGAAAACCCCTAAATGCAAATAGCAGATAAATGGGCTCTGTTTGTACAGGTGGAAGAAGAGGGGAGACATTTGGCTTTGGCAAAATGCAGAGATGCTGGGTAGTATCTTGGCTTCAGGAATTCAGGTTTAGTGGTTTATAACAGAGGTTTCTGATGTGGTGCAGCTCCTGCAATTTATCTCCATTGTTCATTTCTGCTCCTGCCAGTGCAGCCACGACACCCTGCACCAGGGCAGGCTGCTTTACTTTGCGGTGTTTTGAGGATTGCAGTGTGGTTGTTCTTGATAAACACCTGATCCAGGAGATGCATCTGTGCAACCTGATATCGCCAGCCCATACCTGTATCCATGCTCAGAGCAGAGGTCTGGAGGTGAGGCACAGTGCTGTTTCAGTTTCCTGCTCTTGTGGGTCATAGGTGTTGGTAAGAGAAATGATCTGTGCAGTGTTCAATGGTTAAGGAATGAGGCAGGCTACTGAGAATTAGCCTCAGACCTGGCTCCTGACATCCCTTAATCCTCCACTTCCAGCTCTCTGCTCTCAAGTGAGTGGGCTCTAGTGGTGAATTTGTAATGAACGTTGGGGCTCAGAGGTTCTAGCATC